TTATTTATATACAAACAAAACTATTTTCAGAGAATGAAAACCAAATTAGAATGTTCACCTTAAACAGACATATATGACAAACTATTCCATACAAATTCTGGGATTATTTATGAATTATACAGTTTGTGCATGTATTCATTAAGGGTGTTATATGAAATTGAGCTGTATATGATACATGCTGCATATTACATTTATTTTAGATATTTGCTGTAAAAAGTTGAGGTGAATGTGAGTTAATGGTTAGTGTGACAGACTGAATCAGAGGTATGTGCCTCATTACCACCAAGAAAAAAATTAATGCTTCAAAATTTGGGGCTATGAGAGTATTATAGGTGTGATGGTCAAATACCACTGTTTGGTCTGACAAGAATAGCCCAAAGTGTGGTGGTGGGTACTGTTGGCTAACTGTCTTCCCTATAGTCTGTCACTTCAAAATTAGGAACAGCTAGCATAGATAGCTCTTGTAGTTTTTCACAACATTCAACAACTAAATAAATGCCATAAAAAAGAACGTTGAATTGTTACAAGGTAGGTAGTCCATTTATTACTTGTAATGCTCTTACATGTATCACACGGAATTTATTAACCAGTTCAAGTTTATGAACCTAAAATTTTTAACTTGTTCCTTTTCTTTCTGGAAATCATTGTGTAACTTCTTGTATTAGTTAATATTGAATGTATGAGAGATTTTCATATGTAGAATGCTTGTGCACTGATCCTTAAGAACATCTTTTGTAGATATGACCAATTAATAATTATATGCTGGCCATTTTGATCTTTTTCTGTAATATTCTGAGTTAATCTGAATTTTTTTTTCTAACAAATTAGTTCTTATGTATCTTGTCAAACATTTGACACCTTTTGAAAGATGATTAAAATAATAAATACTGTAGTTACTACTTGTGGAAAAAATCATTGAGAAGGTTCTCAGTTATATTTAGTAATTTAACATGTTTATCTATTGAAGAAATACATAATTATTTTTAAAAGGTTATTAGTGTTTCTGCCTTGACGACTATCAGAATGTGTAAAAAGTAATAATTTACTGAATTAAAAACTGAACTAAAATGCATTTTTATTTGATTAATTACTTCTGCAGTGTATTATTGTCATGGAAATATCTTGTTCTGTGTTACTTAAGAGGAGTTTTTCTTTTGCAAAGTATTCATTTCTTCAGCTGAAAAGGGAGGAACGAAGGATAGAAGATCTTTCATGGGGACTTTAAGGAAGAGGCTGAGTTTTAGAAAAAATCGCTCTAAGTCAGTAGAACAAAAGGAAAAACCTGAAGAAAGTATAGGTCAAGAAAGTAGCAGAAGTGTGTCAACTGACCAATCCAAATCTGTTCCTTGCTCCCAGGAAGTATCTGCTAGATCCTCAGGTTAGTGAATACATGTGGCTAATTGTATTCATATTTAGTCTCTGTGTGTGTGTGTGTGTTTACAATGTAGATGCAACAGATTTTAAATTATACACATATATAACATTATTAATTTTTATGGTTAGTGTAGTCCTTTGTTTGTTTTTAGTGATGTTTTGATAAGCTATAGTAGGTGTTTATGCACATTTGTTTTTTCTGTTGATTTTATTATATTTTCCAGGCTTTAATAGCTTTAGAATTATTATTTATAATAATAACTGTTGCACCAAGTTGATTATGAATTTGTGACATTCTTGTTTACATAAGTTCTCATAGCCTATGAGTTGCACAAAAATACCATCAGTATTGCAATCCCACTTTTTTATACTGGGGATCCTTATGTATTTTACTTTAAACGTTAGTGATTTAGTTCCTTATCCTGAGACAAAACAAAATTACTTGGCATTATGCAATATGTGAGCCACAAATGTGTGAACAGTAAAAAAATAAGTTGCTACTTAGATGATTAAATGGAATCTATCACAGAAATTAAACAATTATTTGATTTATCAAGATTAAGAGTATTTATTGCTGTTATTCCAAACCATAGAAACATGAATACAAAAATACAGTTCCTACCAATTAGTGAAGCTTACACAGTAGCTAAATTAAAGACTGCAATTTACATAGGAAAACATATTATTAACTGGAACTATACATCCTTTTAAGTTTTAATTGAGAAATGTACTTGTATTTAGTTTTGTTATATAAAAAGTTTGTAGTAACTCATTGTAAAACAAATAAAAATATTATTCTGTTAATGATATTTTCTGTTGTACTCCCAATAATATCTCATGACATTTGATCAGCTTAGGAGATGTAGGTTAGTCCTAAATTCATATACTAAGCTAACAATGCAAAATTGTCTTTATAATAAAAATAAGATAATAAAAAGATTAAACATAATATACAGATTCTAACCAATACTGTTAATGAAAGTAATATTCCAAAAGAATAGACTATGCTGTTTGTACAAAATACATAAACACTAGTCTTTTTTTTTCGTGTTATTAAACCCCTTGTTTAATTGAAACATTTGAATTTATGTTCACTGATGTTTTAAGTGAGTTCTTGCTTTTCTGTGTACTAAACAATATAACTTCTGTCTACTTCAAAGTGTTATTACAGATTGTGATATGTTTACTGTTGTTTTAAAGCGAGTTCTTGCTTTTCTGTGTACTAAAAATATAACTTCTGTCTACTTCAAAGTGTTATTACAGATTGTGATATGTTTACTATTGTTTTAAATGTCTATTCTTGCTTTTCTGTGTACTAAAAAATATAACTTCTGTCAGACAATATGTAAGAATTGACCTTCTCTCATTTCTTTTGTGCTTTTATGGTATTTGGTGTATATCACTCTTATTGTCTGTGAATTTATATAATTGCTATTGTCTTGCATGTATAACAGGCATGTGATTTATAATGCACGTTAAACCTTCCTTTAAATTTTCCATAATAATTAAATGTTGTATGTTCTTGAGATAATATAATTTATTTATGCTGTTTTTTGTGTTTTTACATCCAAACACTCTGTTCATTTTGAGTCAGCAAAACCTATTGCTAAAAAGGTAAGCATCTTAAATACTTTTAAAAGTATTTTTTCTCTCAGTATATTTAAAGCTATATTACTGTATAAACTTTCTATACTTTTACATTTTCATCCACCATAATGATAATTGTTGTAGTTATAAAGTATAACATTTTTTTACAGTAACCTGCTTTAAAACACAATAGCATATATTTTTGTAGTGGTAATTGTAATAGACTGCTTCTCAGCCTATACAGCCATGTTATCACACTATTACAAATAATATTTATGTAAAACACCAGGAAGAGACAGTTAGTGACAGTTTCACACAGGTCGCCAGCTCGAGGAAGCTTACATAGGAATTAAGGAAACGAGTCAAAATTCATAAGCAAAACATATATTTATTTAATTTCCAAAAGGAGCAAAATAATAGTTACATAGATTACTATTTAGTAGTTCTGAAAAATTCTCAGATTAGTTTAGTGCTTTAATATAAAGAAAATCTCCCTCTAATTATTATCTAATAAAAAACACCTTAGATGTGACAAAAAGTGCAGCCAAAAAAGGATTAAGCATGCAACTTAAAGGAATGAAATCAAAATTGGAAGCCAAACTTGTAGCTACACTTCCAGCATTCATTAGTTAGCCAGGCAATGTATTTTGTTTTACCCAATATCATGCCAC